TGTATATATATACATAATGTATATGTATATATATACATAAATGTATATATATATATATGTATATATATACATAAATGTATATATATACATAAATGTATATATATACATAAATGTATATATATACATAAATGTATATATATAAATATATATATGTATATATATATATATATGTATATATATATATATATGTATATATATACATAAATGTATATATAGAACTTTAAGAACTTGACAAATTGTTAAAACCAAACGAAAAAAAATCACACACTGAACTTAAAAGGCAAAATTAAAATAAAATAATAAAACAATCATGAATAAACATGAAAAAAAAATCATAGAATATGAGCTCTTTGATTCGTACAATTAATGAACATTCTTCGGTACAATCACACCGATAAAGAAAAGGTCAACGGATATAGGAATACGCGTACACATCATTTAACGCCATCAGCGCTGTAAATACGGAAGGTCAACTAAAAGCTTGCGTCCTCGGTGGTAGGCCGCCTCAAGAAATAAAGCAAGCTATTAGAGAGAACCTACAGAGGACATGCACATCAATGCATCTGGTGGGGATACACTAAAATGATCCAACAACATCAACAACCATGAAAAGGAAGCATAAACCGTAATTAGGCAGTCATTTGTCTGCAAGGTGTGTCTAGATAAATACATAATCAGAAAAATGTACCTGTTGCAAAGCCTTCATGATTGGTTCATTCCTATAGCTGACGTGGAATTTTGCTTTGGCCAACAGTCCCTGTATGCAGCCAGAGTTCAATTTGAAAGATCCATCACATGTAACGAACATGAACCCCACATGAACAGATTTTTTACCTCCGTGTCAAACTCTCGAGACTGAACTGTTATATTTATGTCAGTGATGATCTTAACAAGATCGACTAGCAATCCCGGGCGGTCTGCTGTTTCTACCACAAGTAAGCTGGAGAAAAGTTCATGTTGTGTAAGCTGAGAAGCAAGGAGTAGTCATGACTAAGAGGACAGAGTATTCATGGTACCATGGATTCACTGGTCTTTAGTATTCAGAGAACAATTTAGAGTCACGGAAAAGATAATAGTAATAGCATCTATATTAAACATGCTTTCTTTCTCATCCCCGTAACACACGTGTCCGCACCTTTACTCTGGTGACGAAAAGTTCAAAATTAATCCTAACATACATACCTTCTGTCAGGTCCATCATCATAAATATTTATACGAGTTGCAATATCAATGTCAACCTGAAACATAGGAATGAGGATGACAATCATTATCATCAGCTTCAACAACAAATTAAAGAGGTTGAGACAACCAAGAACAAATATCCATCCTCGTTTTATTTGTTTTACAAACATATACTATCCACAACATAGACCAGATAAATCTATCTTAACCTCTCTCTGAATGAATCAGCCACAATTATTGAACAATTGTTCATAGCTGATTGAGTTACACGGAGGGTCCATGTGCCCGTGTCATTGGATTTGGAATGGCTCAAACTGGACAAAAGTTTTTTAAGCAATTCTTGAGAAGGGAAGAAGGAAAAGAACTAGGGGCACAATGTGTAATATCAGGAGGCCCAAAACAGGACCAAAGCAGGATGATAAAATAGCAAGTACAACAACAAGCCATAATGATCAAATAGAAGTCCATGATGAAAACCAAGAATCAGTTGAATGGGGCAAACATTTTTTTAAATGAAGAGGTATAACCCAAGCAAGTATATCATTAGGGTTGCATTTTTTTTCACGAAAGCTAAACATTCTCAGTAGGGCATTTCGCAATTTGGTCCTAACTATATTTCCATACAAGTGGTAGGCACACCTCAGAATATATTGTCTGGTCATCTTTAAACCACATATGAGTTGCAATCAGGATAGATCTGATGACAGACTGCAGATTATGCATATGCAGATAAAAGAAAATTTCCTTCAGATTATCTTTATGCAAGAATTAAGGATGGAATGAACCTAATATTGGTTTTAAAAAAATGGTAGAAGAACGAAACTCATATTCCCTGGTTCATGTGAAATTCCATTCTGTTAAAAGCACATAGATATTCTTGAAGTTTCATAGGCCCTTCTCAGATGAAAAATTGACAAGACTGAAGTACCTTCTGCTCAGGTGGTTCCACTCCAAAAGTTGCTCCCATAGCCAATTGGCTGCTAGATTCCTGTCAGTGACTCAAAGTATCAAATCAGAAAGTTCTTTTCAGTAAGTTTCACCAAACTTATCCATGGGAGAAAAACACTCCACAAAACTCTAATCAGGATAATTAGAATTACCGGGTGATATTGGAGCATATTATTGATAATTGTCAAACGTATTGTTTCTAGCAACTCTGGATCCTCAATTTTACGGCCAGTAGACCTACAAATAATTCCCCTAGCTACTGTCAGCATTTATTGTTCTTCAAAAGATTCTGTGACAAGCAAATTTATCATTGATATGCAAGGAATAACAGTCAAACTTTATACACAAAGCTGCAGCAGTGAGATAAACTGTTCTAATTTAAGCCCGACAGAAAAATCTTATAATACTAACCTTTTGGATAAGAAGATAAGAGAGAGTTCACCTGTTAGTTATTGCAAGCTTATTGTGCTTCCCAGAAGAATCCATGTACACATTAGCCTTGACAACATGTAGTCCTAGGTTCTTAAGGGAATTCATCTTCCAAATACAAAAATAGAAATTTGTCAGAAAAAAGCAATTATAATCCAGAAGACCAACATATGTAGTGCCCCCACCCCCGGTCCCAATACACACACACACACACACACACACACAAGAGAGGGAGGGAGGGGGAGAGAGAGAGAGAGAGAGAGAGTTAACACTAGTCAATACAGTGTCAAGAAGAGCTCCAAGACGATCACCAAAGGTTATCTCAACAATAGTTGCATCTGGACTCGAGTCCTGGTCAATTATGACTTTGGGGGTAGGAATTGCATCAGTCTCATTAGAACTCCCATCCTGTCACAGCAAAGTACAAAAAATAAGGATGCATTTCCAGATAAATGCTCTGAACAGGTGATTCAATACCTCAACAGCAGTTGGGTATGCAGCTCTAGGGGTGCGTACGGCTACATAAGATGGCAGTCTGACAATATTCCACAATAAAAGATCAGAGGAAAACAATCACACGTGCAAGAACAAGTATTCAATTCAGAAGTTTAGCCTTCTTCTCCTTTTATGGCGTTTCTTATATCCTTCATGTGCACATACTCCAAACCGATCGTTATTGGGCTTATCGATTATCAAGTATAGAACAACAAATCAACATAACATTTCATTAGCATAAAAGCCCTCGACTGATCCATTCAAATCTCCCAGATCAACCCAAATCTTCCAGATCCACCGGTATTATTATGTGCCTCTTTTGCTGAGCATGTCATGGAGGTTAACTCAAATATCTCACCGGATCATCCAACAAGTTATGACGTAAGAAATATATATGGCACATATAATGAACAATGAATTACACACTAACCGCCCAAAAAACTAATTTTGACATCAAATTAGAAAACGAGGGGGTGAAGACTGCACAAATTGCAGCAAAGATTCAAAACAAAAGCTAAATATCGCATCATATTCCCAGAAATAATCCCCAAATCAAAACAGATACCATATGAAGCAAGAACCACAAGGGAAATAAGAGCAAAACCTGGCCTTTAAAGGTTTGGAAACCCCAGATCCGAGGCGACGAAGCAAGTAGCACCGCAGCGACGGCAAGCCGGACCCTCCCCGCTTCGCACCAGGGCTCGACCAGAGGCTCCCCGAAGCCGCTGCAAGCGCTTCCATGCTTCTTGCTTGGATGGAGAGTAAGAGATGGAGCAGGATGGAAGAAGAACCCTAGTTTTGGTCAAGTGATCGCCTCTTCCGGTCCTTACTAGGGCGGCGGCGGCAGCGGCAGCAGCATTTGTTGGTGGGGGGTGGGGGTGGGTGGGGGGGGTTCGAGGAGCCGTGCCTCGGCCTGTCATCCAAGACAACCTGTCATTGTGTCTAAAATGATGAATACAAGCGGTACGCATTGAATTAAGTAAATAATTAAAATGACAAATGACAAATGAAATAAAAGGGTCTTTACCAATAAAACCAAACGAATTTCCCGAAAACCCTTTTTTTTCAAAAGTATTTTTTTATATTTCCCAGCGAGGCTCGTATTTGACATAATTTCTGAAGTGTCCTCTTGACAGGATAGTTAAATAATACTTGGTTACACCCATATAATATTCGATGCATAAGGATTAGGATGAGTTTTCAGAAAAATACTATATTTTTTAGCATTTTCTAATTGATATCTTCTATTTTATTTTTTTTAACAGTGTACCTCTTAATTTCAAAAAAATAATCTAAATTATTCAAAAAATTCGTCTGTAATAATGTTTTGACCATCATAACAAAAAAATTATGATGCCTATTTGAAAACATCATAAACCATCTAAATAAATTTTTTAACTTTAAACAACTAATTATAAGCCTTAAAATATGATATTATAATGATATGTGTGAACAATGATAGCAAAAAAAAAAGACATGATATGATAATATCGCTCATAGTTTTTTTTAATAATGTTTATAATATTTTTAATATATCAATAAAATACTATAAGCAAATGAAATAAAAATAATATAATAATTGAAAACAAATAATAAATAAATAAATAAAAATTGGAAAAAACTTTTAAGAGATATTTTAGTTTTTTAAATTAAAATATTATTTGAAAATAAGAGAAGATATTTTTTTTGACAAATATTTAAAATATAAATATTTTCTAAGGAAATCGTCCTTAGATTTACACTATTACTTATAGCGTTTTTTATTATACTTATATAGTATTTTTGACGCCTTTAATAAAGTACTATAAGTCGTTGAGATAAATAGAATTATAAAATTCATCTGATATATAAAAATATAATTTTAAATAATTATCTTTTTGGTTTAGGAGTATATAATTTAAAATAATTATATGGTTGTTTGGGAATATAACGTTGGGCTTACCCATTTTAGCCTTACCCATTTCTCATTTTAACCTAAAATTCTAATCCTTTTAACTAAGAGTTCTGGCAATTAAGGAAGAAAAAAAAGGAGGCATCGTGGCTCTAATGGTTGTGAAAAAAAGAAAAGTAATATTAGTAGGAAAGGATAGAAAAACAAGAGAAGGAAAGGAAAGGAGACAGTGGCAACATAGAGAGACTGTTTCCAATTATCCATGTAGTGTTCTCATCTCAGATTAGATCAAATCTACAGTAGATCTTATTGTGATTATTTAGGGAAATTTTAGATATTATGTACAATGACATAATTCTTATGTCTTAATTATTCTCTTATGATTTTTGCTTGGGTTTTGGGCAAGGAACTATGAGATTTGTATATTCATTATTCTTACAGTGGATTTTCTCTAGTTTACCCTATGGTTTTTACCCATCACGTTGGAGGGATTTTTCACGTAAATCTTGATGTCCTATTTGATTATGATTTCTATTTAATTTTGATGTATTATGGTCAACTTGTATTTATTCATGTACAACATCCTTTTGTTTATCTCATCGTATAAATAATTAAATATATAAATGGTATACAATATTCTGTTGATGAGTTGCTATTGTGTGTTGTTAAGGATATTATAGAAAATATGACTAAAAAAGTTTTTTCTAAGAAATTCACTATAAAATTTATATTTTTATGTTTGGAAAATTTAGGGTTTTTATTTTCTATTCTTCCGTTGTGGATATGATGTCACCCCTAGACTTCCCTACAAAATTTAATTTTAATTAGAAGATTAGATGATAAAAACTATGATAGCATATTTCACAAAGGGTTATAGAAGCTCAATAAGGATTCTGTTATTATGGCTAGTGAGAAGAAATGTCATACTTTGTACAGGTTGTAAGCTAAAGCTTATGATGAGTAGTTAAATGTTATAAAAAAAGACTTCAGCATAGAGTTATGATATAGGCGATTGAAACACATGAGCGAGAATGAGCTACAAGCTCTTTCCAAGAGAGAAGTATTACCAGACCTTAAAGGTACATGTTTGAACTCTTATATTAATTATTTGGTTGGTAAATAACATAAAATTTTATTTGCTAGTCCTGCTTTATCTATAAAAATATATGTCTTAAATCGTGTTTATATAGATGTATGTAGTCCTTTAAGGATAAAACTCTTGGTGGATCTGTTAATGTTTCTAGTATTAGTGGTACACTTTATTTTATCACTTTTATATATGACTTTTCTATGAAAATTTGGGCCTATGCTATGAAGACCAAAAATTATGTTATTAATATTTTTAAATAGTTCATGCTAGAGTTGAAAGGGAGACAAAAAGATAATTGAAATGTATAAGATCAGATAATGAAGATGAGTATATATAATTGTTTAATGATTATTATAAGATGACAGTTCTTGGTACACCTCAGCATAATGCAATTATTGAGAGGATAAATCGCGTCATCATGAAAAATATAAGATGTATGCTTTCACAAGCTAAGCTACCCAAAAAGTTTTGGGATGAGGCTTTGAGGACTGCATTTAATGTGATCAACTTATCACCCTGTACAACCCTAGATGGTGATGTTGCAGAGCATGTATAGTAAACGAAAGATATTTCCTATATGCATTTGAAAGTGTTTAATTGTTGTGCATTTGTACACGTTCCAAATAATGAGAGGTCCAAGCTCAATGGTAAGACTAAAGAATGTATTTTTCTTAGCTACTCACATGATCAATTTGGTTACAGGCTTTGAGATCCAGAAAAGCAGAAGGTGTTTAGAAACAAAGATATGGTCTTCGAGGATCAAACCCTTGAGGATTTGAATAAGGAGGCACCAGCCAATACTTCTACAGAAAGATTAGTAGATTGTGACCCAATTACTCCTCTAATACATCATGGTGATAGGGGAGATGCATAGGAAGATGGTGTAGAGTCCGATGTTGATCTGCCTATAGGACATGTTGAGCATGAAGTTGGGGTGCAACTTTCCGCAGAACTTTAGTTAAGAAGATCTTTTAGATAACGTTAACCTTCTAGAAGATACTCTACATATGAGTATGTGATGCTTACTGATACAGGTGAACCAGAGAGTTACTAGAAAGTAGTTGAAAGTGAGCAGAAAAAAAAGTGATTAGTTACTATGCAGAAAGAGATGGATGCTCTACAAAAGAATAACACTTATGATTTGGTGCAACTACTAAAGGAAATGAAAGCCTTGAAGAACAAGTGGGTTTTAAGGTCGAAGACTCAAGAACATTGTTCTCAACCAAAGTACAAAGCTAGATTGGTTGTGAAAGACTTTGGTCAAAGGAAAGGTATTGATTTTGAAGAGATTTTTTCTCCTGTTGTTAAAATATCTTCTATTCATATTGCTCTCGGTATTGCTGCTAGTCTAGACTTGGAGGTTGACTAATTGGATGTGATGACAACTTTTCTTAATGGTAATTTGGAGAAGAAAATTTATATGGAGCAACCAGAAGGTTTCAAAGTCAAAGGTGAAGAAAATTTTATCGGTAAGTTGAGGAAGAGCTTGTATGGGTTGAAGCAAGCTCCAAGACAATGGTATAGAAAGTTTAATTCATTTATGATCAAAAATAAATATAAAAGAATGGCTTCATATCATTATGTATACATCAAATTATTTGGTAAAGATTTTATTATTCTCTTACTTTATGTTAATAACATGCTTATCATTGAGAAAGATATGTCTATAATTCATAGATTGAAGAAGAACTAAGTGAGCCTTTTGCGATAAAAGATATTGGACTAGCAAAGCAAATACTGGGCATGTAGATTTTCTATGATAGAAAAAATAAAAAGATTTGGTTGTCACAAGAGAAATACATCAAGAAGGTATTGAAAAGGTTCAGTATGAGCAATGCAAAGCTAGTTAGTTCTCATCTTGTAGGTTACTTCAAGTTGAACTCAAAGCAAAGTCCATCAAGTGATGGGGAGAAGGAGAAAATACAAAAGGTTTCTTATACTTCAGTTGTTGGAAGTTTAATATACACAATAATATGTATGAGGCTAGACATCACATATGTAATGGGTGTTATTAGTAGATTTCTTATAAATCCAAGCAAATAACATTATGCAGCAATGAAGTGGATTCTTATATATCTTAGAGGGAGTTCTAAAGTTTGTCTAAGCTTTGAAGGTGGACCACCTATGTTGATATGTTACACAGATGCAGATATGATAAGAGATATAGATATAAGAAAATCTATATTAGGTTTTATACTTACTTTTGTAGGGGGAGCTATGTCATGACAATCCAAATTGCAAAGGTGTATTTCTTTCCTTACCATAAAGGCAGAATATATTGCTATTATAGATGTTTACAAAGAAATATTATGGATGAAAGAATTTTTACAAGAATTGGGACTGAAACAAGAAAACTATATGGTGCATTGTGATAGCTAGAGTGTCATCCATTTATGTTAGAACCCAACTTTTAATTCCAAATCAAAGCATATAAATGTTAGATACCACTGTATTTGAAATGCACTTGAAGAGAAGTAGTTGTAATTTTAAAAAATTCACACTAATGATAATAAAGTAGACATGTTATCAAAGATCTTATCGAAAGAAAGATAGGAGATATGCCGACAGTTGATCGACATGACTTCATATTGAGGAGTTATGAGATAATCTCCTTTATCGATTGAAGGAGGAGGTTGTTGGGTTGACATCCTATAAGTTTAACCCATAGTGGACTTTAATTACTCATAACTCACTTTAACCTTAATCCTTTCTTATTTAATTTAAAATCCTACCCCTTTTAACTAAGAGTTATGGTGGCTAGGGAAGAAAAAAGTGGGTAGTGATGGTTGTGAAAAAGAAAGAAGTAGTAGTAGTGGGAAAGGATAAAAAAATAAGAGTAAGAAAGGGAAGAAGCTAAGGATAACACAAAGAGACTGTTCTCAATCATCCATGCAGT